GGCTTATCTCTCTCCCATACCGCAGTGCTGGAAGACACGGTGGAGGAGCGCGTCATCAGCGAGGAGTACAAGATCTGGAAAAAAAACACCCCCTTCTTGTACGACCTGGTGATGACACACGCTCTGGAGTGGCCCAGCCTCACCGTGCAGTGGTTGCCTGATGTGACCAGGTAAGAGAAGGGGAGAGAGGCCTGGAAGGGACCAGGGAGACACAGGGCTCAGCTGCTGATTTGCTTAGTTTGCAAAATTGGAGCCGAGACTGTGTGTGATTGCTTGTTCCGCTGCTCTTTTGATCTCTGTTAACCATGTCTGCTAATTAACTTGAGGACAGAAACCATGCAAGATGAGAATAATTTCTGTTAGACTCCTCTTTGTGAGCTTGTAAAACTTTATTTTGCTTACAACATTAAAACTCCTTTGGGTATGCGGAAGCTTGAGGAAAAAGTCACAAGTTGATACTTTACAGAATTCTAGCTTAGCCTAGCAGAAGGTGTCATGAGGTGTGAGGAGAGAAATCTCTCTCAATTTATTGATACATAAGAGACCTAACACTTTTTTATAGCTAAATCTGAAATTCTGGTCAGAGACATCTGTGTACTAAATTAGTTTTTTCTTGAAGACTGTTTTTCCTCATGTATGCTACAGATTACTGTTCTGTAGAAGCCATAGTATCTCTCTGATTTGTTTTGGTTTAAGTCTGGATTTATTTAAGAGGATGTTTTTCTAAGACTGGTATTTCACATCCTAGCTTGCTGTTGACTTCACATATTTTAATTTTCCTGTTCTTCCACCTTCTCCTGAAAAATTGTGGTCTCACTAGTTAGTTTCTTAAAGAATTTTGAAGATGGGGATAGATTCTGGTCATCTGCCAGCTACTGTGGAACTTAAATTGTCGCAGTAACCACTCAGGGCTCATTGAGATAGTGGACAAGGACTAGGTCCCTCATGTTGTCTTAAACTGGATATAGCTAGGTTTTAAAATATCATATGTGTAAAGCTCAGTAATCAGAGGGTGGTCTCTTTCATCTTTAAAATTCCGCCCTACATATGTGATGTTATACTTGATGGTTAGATGATCACTTAATTTTGCATACCAGAGTGTTTGGGGAAGATGTTGAGAGGTGTGAGCTAACTAGTCATGGCATGGAGAAGATGAAGTGGGGATTTGAGGGTGTGGAGCCCTTATGAGGAACACTTCTGCTTGCCTCGTATTTTGCAGATTGACTTAATATTCATTTTAAAACCTGGTATTTCCAATTATCCAGTGTCAAAATATATAAGCCATTTAAGGCAAGGACTGTCTCTTTGTATGGCACCTGACATGATGGGACACCTGTTCCTGACGCAAGTAAGTGCGTGTGCATTGTGTGTTTGTTTTGTTTTGTGTTTTTTCTTTCACCCTCAAAATGTATGATGATGCCTTGGAAGTGGTGTGTTAATACCTGTGGTGGTTTATGATTACCCAAATGGTCCTGGTTTGCTTCGATTCAGACAGCGTGATTAGTTTCTTGCTTTCAAGAGTGCAGAAGTTGCTTGATTTCGACTGTCCGAATTTTTCCTTTCAGAGATAAATTGCACTGTCCATCCAGCCTTTCACTTATTGCTAAACGTTGCGATTAACCGCCAGAAGAGAAATTTGATTCTAGTTAGCTAGGATTTGTGCAGTGTTTAAAAACGAGCTTCTGAAATAAAATAATAACTGGTAAAATCTTGTAAGAGAAGTAACTAAAATACGTGACCGCTTGTCCTCAGTATTTGTGTTTTATAGAAAGTAGTACTGATTGTTTACTAAATCGATATTGTGCAATTGTTAGAGGAATGAAAAGACAGAAGTAGGTATTAATGGCACCTTTAACTATTGTGCAAATTGTAATTGTCCCTTTCAGCCCATAGTGGCAATGTTCACTGACTGGAATTGTCACTCTAGCCTTGCTGTCTTTGGTTTACTTATGTCAGACTCTAGTTCACTTTATTGTGTAAGTCTCTTGCAACAAAGGAAAGGATCTCTTACGCGAGTCTCTCTTTTCTAGCTCCCTGAAGAAGTTTGGATCTTGAGTGTTATAGATTCTAGCTATGAAACCTCTGGAACTGAGCACATAATTTTATTCCATGCGTTTGTTGTTCTAAACAGGCCAGAAGGAAAAGATTACGCTCTACACTGGCTGGTTTTGGGAACACACACGTCTGATGAACAGAACCACCTGGTTGTTGCAAGAGTCCAGATTCCCAATGATGATCAGTTTGATGCTTCGCAATATGACAGTGAGAAAGGAGGTGAGCACGCATGCATTCTTAGATTATGTTTTAGCAGCAGCATTACTAAGTGTTCTGTCTAATGGTATTCTAACTTTCTGTTAAATACTAAAGCTGACATATACTTATCAGTTCACACTAATTCTAGATCATTAATTGTGACTTAAAAGAGGAAACTTCTTATTTCGGAAGAACCTAGGTAACATTATTGTATACAATCCTTACTAGCATTTCTACCAGCTCTGTCAGTTGTGGTGAAAACTGATGCTCATCTGCATCGAATAGAGACTAAAGATCTGAAAGAGTTTGTATCATAGAGGATTCAAAATATCTGAAGTGTTTGTGCTATTGTGTCACATGGTGCTAGTCTTTCATAGGCTTTACTGTATTATGACAAAATGCTTACTGTTGTTTCTTGGAGTGGGGGAGATGGCATGAAATGCTGTTTCACCTGTTTAAAATAGTTGATGTGATAAACTGACCTTTTTCTGACAAATGTAGAGTTCGGTGGCTTTGGATCTGTGACTGGCAAAATTGAAACGGAGATTAAAATTAACCATGAAGGTGAAGTAAACCGTGCTCGTTACATGCCGCAGAATCCCTGCATCATTGCTACGAAAACACCGTCTGCTGATGTGTTGGTATTTGACTACACTAAACATCCTTCAAAACCAGGTGGGTCAGACTCCTTGGAAGTTAAGTAAAATGCTTCTTATCCTTGAGGGGTAAACTTGTGTTTAACTGTAATTGGGAGGAGAGGTGGTGGGCTCTGGAACCTGAATAAGAAGACCCATATGTTCAGTGACTTTTAACTGCCTGGTTATGCTCAACATCGTAAGAGAATCTTGATAAAAGCAGCACTCTCCTAAGAGGCTGATATATAAAATATGATTATTGCAACAGGAACAAAGCTCTTAGTTGATAATGATGCTCTTATGGATTGATGTGCAATATGAAGCTAAACGGAAGGAATTTCCTCTCTTTCAGACCCAAGTGGAGAGTGTAATCCTGACCTTAGATTAAGAGGGCACCAGAAAGAAGGCTATGGCTTATCATGGAACTCAAATTTGAGTGGACATCTTCTCAGTGCATCAGATGATCATGTAAAAACTACATCTTCTCCCCTATTTAAAAAAAGACAACCAAACAACCCCTCCTAATTTAAGCTGTATTAGATAATTTGAGAAAAACTGGGTTAATGTAGCTGTATATTGGTGTGTGGGAAAGCTCTCACATATTGTAATTATGTTTCTAAAGGCTGTGAGTTGATTTTAGGCTGTAATCAACAACCAGTTCTTTGTAACATTCATGATGAATTAGAATGTTTTTATAGTTGTTTGCTGGAAGAAATTGTTGTATTACAACCCTTTCAACTGGCTTGGGTCTGAGACCATAAATTAGTAAGACTATCAAAGATCAGTTGAACTAATAGCTTATAAATGTCTTTCTGGGCTTTAAAAATGTAAATTACTTCTGTGACCTTATAAATAATCCTTGGGCCTTGAATTTGCAGAAAACTGACAACTTAGCTCACTTCTCACTGTGTGTTGAGTGTTCCTTTTCAAAACCAGAACTGTTTCAGGAGTGTCATCTCTCTCTTTATAGGTAGAATGTGATTATTTATTTATTTGAAAGAGAATACAATCAGAGTTTGCATAACAATAGAATATGAGTCTTATTTACAGACGGTGTGTTTATGGGATGTAAGTGCTGGACCAAAAGAAGGCAAAATTGTTGATGCAAAAGCAATCTTCACCGGGCACTCTGCTGTAGTAGAAGACGTAGCATGGCATCTGCTCCATGAATCTCTGTTTGGATCTGTGGCTGATGATCAGAAGCTTATGATGTAAGTTCAGATAAAACAGTGTCTGGATAGTGCCTGCTGTGTGCTGTCAGTGAACCAGTCCAGAGCACTTGGATAAAAAAATCTGAATTCTGGAATTACGTAGCTCTTTAGTGTAATCAACTATAGTAATGCTGCAGAATCACTGAAATCTGCATGTCATTTAATGTGTTCACATCACTCGAAAATAAGATGTAATTAATATGTATGTCAGCTTCTTGGTGTGAACTGCTCATGTGTAACAGACACACAATGCTGAAACGTTATGGAATATAAACTGTAGCTTCAATCTTAGGTTTAGTAATAACGTAGTCTCTTGAACGAACATGTAGTGTAGTGAAAAAGAACCTCCTGTGAAAACTTATGTTTGTGCACTGTTGCTCTCTCCTCCCTGCCCCCGAACCCTTCATTGCGACAGTTGGGACACAAGATCTAATACCACATCCAAGCCAAGTCATTCTGTGGATGCTCATACAGCCGAGGTCAACTGTCTGTCCTTCAATCCATACAGCGAGTTCATTCTGGCAACTGGTTCTGCTGACAAGGTTTTTACCTGTGTATACTTTAAATTCATAAGTGTTCTGGATGATAGTTCTATAGCCATTACAGTAAAATCAATTTCTTGTCACTTCTCCCAGACGGTGGCTCTATGGGATCTTCGAAACTTAAAATTGAAACTCCATTCTTTTGAGTCTCATAAAGATGAAATTTTTCAGGTGGGTAAAGTTTTCTCGCAAGCTGTAGAAAAAAAAAAACCCAAACTAGAAGAGTACTGACTTGGACAAGAACATGTAGATTTTCATATGGTGACCAACCACAATAAATAAGTCTATTAAACATGAAATAGTGAATTTTGGTTCAACAAATACAGACAGTACTATATAGTTTGTTTCTGCCTTTTCCCACTTGACTCTGAAGCAAGTAAACAACTTACTGCTAAAAAGATACTGGAAGCTTGCCAGTACCTTCCATACAGATGGAAGGTTTGTCTAAAGTGTCCTGCTGTAGAGAGGACTTGAGCTCAAATCTAATATTGAGAGCTCTGCCCATTTAGTAGGTGCAGGTAACAATGAATTTTAGACAAATTTGATGATATGGTAAATCTGTAAGAGTGAAATAATGTTGGCTGTTCCATTTGAGAAATCTTAAGACTTTAAAGCACTCTGTTTAAGCTATAGGGTGTCCTTTGTGCTGGAAGAAACTGATTTATTGAGTATAGTTGTTAAAATCAGTGGCCAGATGCTGTTGATTCAGGATATGCTTTAGAAATCGGTAACTGCTCCAGTCAAGTTGTTTTCTTTCAATAGGTTCACTGGTCTCCTCATAATGAAACAATTCTTGCTTCGAGTGGTACTGATCGTCGGCTTAATGTATGGGATTTAAGGTGAAGAGCAATTCTTTTCTTTCAGTATATATGAACAGATGGTAAAAGAAAAAAAAAAAGGCTACAGACCCACTTTATTTGGCTGACTTCATTTGTGCTGTTCTCTGGCCTTCCGTTCTTGCTTAACTCGGACCTGGTCTTTCAGGTATACAGTAGAAGCAGCACAGTACTTCTAATGTTACTTCTTCATGAGGGTTTCTTGTTGATAGAACTGCTTTCTGTTGCCTTTGGTAATAAGCAAGTTCCGCCTCTGTGTGCTTCACAAGTGAGATTCTATTTCAGTAATGGTAACGCCAAACAGTTGGTGTTTTATACCTGAGGCTTATAGTTATTTGACAGTGAGAAAAACCAATAGCAAAAGCAAATACTGGAAACAAAGGCTAGGAACTGTTCAGTTGAGACAGGATGCGATTTTCATTATTAATAAGACGTATAAACTACTTTCTTACAGTAAAATTGGAGAAGAGCAGTCTGCAGAGGATGCAGAAGATGGGCCTCCTGAGCTGCTGGTATGCTTTTGTTCAGGTTTCAGTCTGCTGACATGCTGTATGGCAGCACGATGCCCTATGACTGTGCTACTAAAACTGCAGCAGTTCCTAAACCTTTTCAGCTCCCCAGTTTTCAATCCATTGCTCTAACTTGCAGTAGGCTCCCTCTATTCAGTTCTGAAGGTAGTAACTTTTTTCAAAGCTGTCCTGGACATGATTTACACATCTTTGTTGAACGTATTTACAGTTGGGCCGTACACTTGTTGGTACTCTTTTTATAAATGCATGTAAAGCCAAGGCCTGAAAATGTTTATCTTGCATTAGACCAGTTAGGTCCCAGATAGCTACCCTTACTGATGTAGAAAGTACAAAGGCTTGTGATTTGTTTTGCTTCCTTAGGAAACAAACAATTAGAAATGCTTACACTTTGGTTTCCCCATTTCCTGTGTAACCGTGTAAGTGCTCATATAATTAGATGAGGTAATGGATAGAAAATATGTCTGGATTTCACAGCCCAACCTTGCGTAAAGTAGCACTGTTTTGAGGATGGCAGCTGATTGTTGCTATAATAATATATTAATAATGTCATCTTAAATGCTGTCTCAGCAATTGTGTCTGTAAGCAATGAATGGAATGTGCTGTTTCACACACACCTTCTTTATGTCTGTACTGTGAATCTTTAGCAGTGAGTTTTTCTTCTTTATGTAGTCATCAGCATGATGAATTTAACTTCTGAATCTTGGGTCTTAACGGATTTCTCTCTAGAGATGAAATGGCTTACTGAAGCTTGTGGTTTTTTTAACAGTTTATTCATGGAGGACACACTGCCAAAATTTCAGACTTCAGTTGGAATCCTAATGAGCCTTGGGTAATCTGTTCTGTGTCGGAGGACAACATAATGCAGATATGGCAAATGGTGAGTGTCACAACAGCTCTTGAGTTGCTCTGAAGCTTGTTGCATAGATAAAACTGAAATGCTTGTTCTTAGGGCAGCTTGTGCCTTCAGTGACTGAAAGTAGTCTATCCCGTGTACTTCTTTCACTGTTAGATTGAAGAATAAGACTTTCAAAAGAAAACAAAGACTAAAACAACCTCAATAAATGCAGCTGCTAGCTAATTCTTGACTCCAAGTCTTAGGTACTAGTGAAGAATAAATGTGGCAATTGCAAACTTAAATCCAATACTAGCCAAGATTTACTCTTCCCCACCTTCCCTGCGTGTTAACTGCAAAGCGAGATGCCTTTTAACTCACTGGTTAGTTCATAGTATTTTACATTAGAGGAATTTGATCAATTATCTTATAAATGCAGAATAAAATGACTTAGGAATAATTTATTTTAACAGACCGAAATGTGTGTCACAAGTCAGGCTGTTCTTCTTTAACTTGTCTTGTGTGTTCAGATTGAGGTTGAAATAAGTCCAAATAAAATGTTCATGGTAAGGCTAATGCTTAAATGGCTAACGCTTAACGCTGCTGAAACAAAATAATGTGAGAAGACAACTATTGAAGTCTAGCCACTGTGTGCACATTCCTAAATTTGGCTGCCCTTTAAGAAAAGGCAGGGAGAAGGTCCCTTTAAGGAGGGGATGATACCTGTGCCGCCTTGGTATTATCGTGTTTTTTCTATATAAAGTGTAGAAGATTGTTAAAAAACAACTATGTCTACCACTTGTAATGTACTATCTTGTGTCTCCAGGCAGAAAACATTTACAATGATGAAGAACCAGATATAGCAGCCGCCGAACTGGAGGGTCAAGGAACATAAATTTTCTACCTTAAGAAAATCCTGGGTGTGACATAGTAATATAATTTGACTACTGTATACATTAAAAAAAAAACCAAAAACAAAACGCCCAAAAAACTCCAAAAGACAAGCACTGGGCAGAAGCATTACATCAAAAGGAGAATATTTTTAATAGGGCACGAAAAGCTTGTGTAGTCAAGTTATCATGGGATACCTTTGGTTATTTGGGCACTTTGAGCTATTGTATACTGTACAGCAATTAGCTTTTAGGGAAAATAAGAATGACTTAATACCTATGTCTATATTTTTAAGCAAACTTAGTGGTTTCCTGTAAATAGAAGTCCAATCCTCACACTTCCCACACAGAAAGTGCACGCACACAAAGTAAGTTTTTATTAATATGTAAAAAGAGCTTTTCACTTTTACACAACACTTTTGGATTGGCTTTGCATAAATAAAATTTATTATTAAATAAAACGTTTGGTGTGTTTAATGTCCATTGGCGTAAGGTGAGTGCCTTCTTGCCTAAATATAATTTAATTGCTGTGTGGTAATAAAGATGTGTAGTTCTTTATAATTTACCCCACAATTAATGGTCTGAGGAGATGAGAGTTGTCTTGGTGTGAAACACTTGCAATAGGTAACTGCAATCCTTCACAAACAGAATGGGTGCAGAAAGAGGGGATGAACATAGGGATGACCAGTCAGACTCCTGTGAAGTTCAAGTATAAATCTCGAGCAGACTTAAGTAACTGTTGAGTTGGGTTTTGGTTTTGGGTGAGTTTTTTTTTGTGTCAGGTTTTTTTGAGTGGTGGTGGAAGCACTGACCTTTTAACATTTTCTTGTTTTAGGTGCTGAGATGACAACATGGTCTCAGTGAATTGGTATTGCCTGCGTTTAGTTAGAGCCCTCCTGTAGCAGCTTCTGAGTAAAATGATGTGAGGCAATCGGGCAGGTGTCTAAAATACCTTCCTATCTGAAGAAATACAAGACAAGCACACAGTTTGCTTCTAAACCTCTGGCTGACTGAAAAGCTGGAGAATTTGGACCCTGCAGAAGCAGAGTATCCCCATGTGTATCTTGGTTCTACAGACAGGTTATGGATCACCTTGAGAGCTGTCAGACAAAGCTGTGTGTCTAATTTGAGTTTAAATTAAAGCTTTTAGTTACCTAAGACAGGCCTCAAATGAACTGTTGGCCTGATCTCTCAGCTAAAACTGAAAAAAATAGATGACTTTGGTGACTGATACAGAATTATTTTTTTTTTTTACATTGCAAATGTTACTTCCCTTGATACGTATCTTACTTTTGTCTCTTTGAATTTTGTGTTTTGAATTTTAACAAGTTTGTAGGCTACTGGGCTCGAGCTGTGTATCTTAAGGTACCTATACTGGCTCTGGCTGGGATGGGCTTCACTTCAAGAAGTGGATATGGTGCAGTGTTTTGGATTTATGGCTGGAACATTGATAACGTACAAATATTTTGGCTATTGCTGGGCAGTGCTTGCACACCACATTGGCTGGAGGTAGGCATGAGGCAGGGATGGGGACACAGTCAGGAGAGCTGACCTGAATTGGCCAAAGGGGAATATTCCTTATCACGTCATGCTTGGCAATAGAAAATGAGGTAGAGGAAGAAGGGGGCCTTCCATTGTGGCTGTTGCTTGGAGGCTGGCAGGGCATCAGCCTGCTTCTGGGAGAGGGCAAGTGATTTCAGTCTTCCCCCACCCCCTTCTCTCACCCACCTATTAAACTGTCTTTCATCTCTACACACAAGATTCGCTTCCTATTCTCCCTGTCTTGCTGTGGGGAAGTGTGAGCAAGCAGCTGTGTGGGTGTTTAGCTGCTGGCCATGGTCAACCCACGACTTCACCATTCATGAAAGGAAAGCTGCTATTTGAGGTAAGTATTTCAATTTTTTAGGAGTGAGAGTTGAATGAGTAAGAGTTTTAATTAGCTCCTTTTGTGTTCTGTGTGGGAATTCAGTAGGCTGGATGCTCCCTAGGTCTAATAGACCAGCGGAATGTTACATCCCATTCTTAAAAGTGTCGATGCTTGGGAGCGGGGTGGGAACAAACAAAAGATGGCTTTGGCAAGGGCGCTAATTCACTCCCATGAAACTAGTACCATGTGCTAGTTCTGCAGTATGGATTAATGTTCAGGCAAATACAGCCCTTTCCAGCACAGAGGTGGCAGGTGGTAGCTAGAACTTGACTCTAGACATCTATGGTTCAGCTTTTTGTTCCTCAGGAATGTGCTTGCCTGTATGTCACTGAGAGGACCAGCTTCCTTCCAGCATGTTCCTGCTGGTCATCGTCTACAGCAGATTAGCTCTAGGCTGGTGCTGGGGGGAGATGGCAATGAAACTGTAGAGCAAAGGTGCTGCTGACTTGACTGTTTGGCCAATGGTCATTCTGCTAAAAGTCAACATCTGCTGACAAAGTCTTGGTGGGTGTAAGCAGGCCAGCACTTTCCCCTCCTTTGCCTCCTCACAGGAAGGGCTCCACAATGATATCTAAGGGGAACTCTGGCTGCTAATTTATTTCGCAATTGACAGCAACAATAAGCATTAAACATACTGAACTCGGAGGTGGTTTTTGGTCAGGTCCTACTTCCTTTCAACATTCGTTCTGACATACGCAGCTCTTGAAAAGCAGGAAATGAAGAGGTCAATGGCCTGACTTACTGGAAATACAAAAGCACTTCCTGGAGCACGGTGGTGCCTCTTCCATATACTGATACGGCTGTGGGCTATTTACATGACCCTTCTTGTTGTGGGTTTGTTTCAGCCCTGCTTCAAGGAGACCGACTGGCTGCTTTGCACCATATGTACGGTGCACTTCATCCCTATAATTAGCGATTTCAGCTTTGTGCACCTGTGTCAGTCACTGGTGGATACCTTCAATGTCCCTCAAAGTCCTGCCACTTCCCTGTAGAGCATCAAAGAGGCAGCTAGCTGGGGCTTAGGGATGCAGGTAGCACCTGCTCTCATGCAGCTGAAAAGCAGCAGGATGAGATAACTTACTATGGAACAAAACAAAAGCATAATTTCTTTAGTATACCTGTAGTTCAAAGTCCTGCTGTAAATACAGCCTCTACACTGATTCCTCCCCTCCCCCCCCCCCCCCAAGTCTGAATTGTCTTTCGCAATATATGCCTGCCTTCAACAGTGGCCACCTTGCACAAGCCCTATGTAGGTGGCTGTAGGAGAGCTTGGTCCCACAGCCAGGTCACAGGCTCAGTACTCAATTTAATTAAGTAATTTAAGAGTTAGCCTGTATCTTGTTGACTAAAACATTTTCATTACCAAGTGAGAATGTGCTGCTAAGACCACTATGGTTTTTAATTTGCAAGTCCTGTATGTGTTTTTTTATTATTGCCCAAGTACAATGTTTGGGAAACGGGGAAAGGTCATAACTTTTAAGCCTATTTGTCTATTGATAGAGTACCTCAGTAATTTGATTTTAAAAACTAGTTACCTCCACAGTAAGTAGATCTATCTGCACTGCAGTTAGTAAAAATAATAGAATTTGAAGCTAAAAAAAAAAGTCATAGTCAACCTGAACAAGAGCTACAGCAATATATTTATTTATTTATTTCATTAGACAAGTTACTTTAGGTATACTTGCACAGTACTTACGGAGCATACTCAATTCAGTGTGTTACTCCTGCAGGTTGGTACATGCTGGGGAGAGGAAAAAACAGCATGCTTTCCCTCCCCTGGCCTTGCTTTTCAAGAGAACTGTGTAGAGTTGAGACCTACCTTTTTTGAATTAGTTACTATTTCCAGAAGTGCAGGCTAACAAAAACTACAGAAGATAATTTAAAGTGAAAAATTGCCAGTATAGGGCGACTTCCTCACTTGTTCTTAACACCTATACATTTTATGCAGTTTTTCAGCACAAAGCGTGTCTTCTCTAAAGTTTTTCAGCCTGCACACCAAGGAAAGCTAAATTCTTTCACCTTTGTACTGAAACGAAACATAAACAACAGTGGAACTATAACCAGTGGAACTTTTAACAGACCTGTTTCCATAAATTGAACGATAAAATCTTCAGCCACACTATCTCATCAGACCACCTGAGCACTTCAGCAGAGCACTCGGTAGCCAGAGAGCAGCACTCTTGCACGCCTTCAGCACCACAGAAGCCTTACTAGTAAGGCCAACGCACTTTGCTGGTGCACATCACAGATTTTTGTTCCACTGTTTTCTTCTCTAAGAACCTGATGGTTTGCATGATCATCATCATCTCCTCTGAACAAAAACTTGAAAAACAACTATCTCTGTGAGGAGCTGCAAGTGGTTACAAGTATCTGATACTGAAATGTTTTAGAAGACTGGTACCTATAAAACAGCAGAACTGAAACTGTGTAATTCCTGCATTTTGCCTCACTGAGACAAGAAAGCAATTTCAGGGTTTTTCCTTTACTGGTATGAAGACCTGCATTTGCTTTTATTGTAGCATGCAAGACTCTTAAGAGTGTCAACTGTTGATCCCAGGCAACTTTTGATACATAGCCATGTGTTTTATGCCCCTATCCATACTATACTTTATTATTATTGGTGTGCACACTGTACCTTTTCACTTCAGCACTGAAATAGTTGAACAAAGTGCACATGTTGGCTGTGTAAACTCTCTACAGAGAATGAGAATCACTTAGTCAACACCCACTTTGACCTTTTGCTTTCCAGCCACTAGAAAGTCCAATGTGGAAGATTCTTCTTAATTCTCTCAACATCAGCTCCTGTCCTGTGAATTTCAAACCCAGAGCTTCCCACAGTTCAGGCACGGCCAAACATGCGTAACAAATAGCAACCTGGTGTTTGAGAGCTGTGTAACTACTCTTCCCCTTTAAAAGGCAATTGATTCTCTGCTTTAACCATCAAGCCTGCATAAAAAACCATATCCTGGATAAAAAGGTTAGGAGAAGAGTCAGTAACCTTCCTGGCAGGAAACAGCAGAAGCACAGTCAAAGCCAGCCAAAGCTTTGATGAGCAGGATTTATTAAACAGGCAACACAACCAAGATCAAATGGTTTTATATGGATACTGGCGGTGGGGAGAAAAAGCCCCAACCAAACAACTCCAACCAATTACATGGACTAAATACCAGTAACATACTTGGACTTGGCAGAACTGAGGTAGTTATTCTGACTCTTAACACCAGGACACAAATTCAGTGGAAGTGACAGTGAACTACATCAGTATGGAATACTTATTACTACAGCTGTAGTTAAATTAAGGTTACAAATGAGAGACTTCAATTTATTTTGTCAGCTTGAGCAAGTATCACAAAATGTGACAGTATTTGAGTTTTCAGATGCTGTAAGTGATGACTTTCTTGAAGTAGAGCTTTAGGAGCAGTATTCTCAGCAGTCTTGAATGATGCACAAGACCTGCTTCAAGACTCAACTGTCTCTGTCCATAAGGTAGACATACCCCGGATCCTCGTCTGAACAAGAAATCCAAAATAATCAACTTCAAACCCAGAAGATATCAAACAGTTTAAAAAGAAATTAAAATAAAGTCTTTGCAGGTAGCATAATATTCTTAAATTACTTAAGTTCAGGCTAGATAGGTGCCAGAGTCAGAAAGGTCAATAAAAGCTAGCATAGTTAAATGAGACCGTTAGGCTGCTAGAAGAAAATACATTCTTCTTTCAAGAAGACATGTCTAAACAAGAGGAAGACGACAGATAATCAAAATTTATATTAAAAAAAATAATAATTCAGAAAGGTGCAAGAAGTACTTGTGAGGAATAACTTAGTAAAGGGATAAAACTAAGTATCTTTTTCAAGTACATCAAACACTTCTAGTCTGCCAGGGAGAGATGAAGCCCCAGCAGCTGGACCGAAGGGCTCAGAATGCAGCTGGTGAAAGAGGTTCTCACATCAGAGCTACTCTTCACAAGAAAAGTAGAGTACGGCTCAAATGTACATGTATGTGTGTGCATGCACATTAACAGAAGAGACTTAGCACCTAACAAAAAAAAGGGCAAAATTCCTCAGCTATTAACTGTGACACATAACCAAATTTATCTCCAGCAAAAGCTTGCAAATTTGACCAGTTTTTATAAGGAATGTAGGAAGACTGCTAACAGTAGATTAGACTTCTCTATCAGTATGCACCATAAGAAAGGGTAGAAATAGTAGAGATGCTTATATAGGGGCAGAGGCAGCACCCTTTGTGGAGACAAGTCTCACCTGTGAGGGAACACTTCGAAGGAGCAAACAAGTACAGCAAAGACAGCAACTGAGACCAGGCAATGTACTCAGATTTCCAAAATACTTGGCACAGCTCCAGAAAAGGCTCAGGAGTAGGACCAACACTGCTCAGTTTTTGTAAAATGGTTATCTTCAAAAAAGTTAACAATTTTTTTTAAATAAAAAAATTAATAATATATTTGGAGTCACAGAGCATATCAGAGTATATTGTTGTAAAAAAAAAGAATTAAAATCTATGTGCTACCTAGAAAAAAGTATACCTCAAGGAAAACCAAACTCTAATTCTCATAAATTTAGGGAAGTTTCTAAATGTTAGGGAATACGCCAAAGAAAGGCAAACAGAACACTTAACATTATTAGGAACGAGGGACAGAACCGTATATTAATAATGAATGACTTCGTATCATATGATGGAATGGGGAGCACTCGATGAAGTTACTAGGCAACCTGATTTTTAAGAGAAAACTCCACATTTTTCACACTAAATTTTTGGAGCCAAAAGGCACAAGCAGAATTCAAAGCAGGCACCCACAGGTTCACTGAGAGCTTCTGCTCTCTGTGGCCCGACACGGCCTCCACCTTACGATGCTCCCAAACTGAAGCCTCCTGGGCGAGCGCAGCAGGTACGGCGCTTTCCTTACCGTACTCTGCCTGCGTGGCTGGTACTGGCCACCACCAGTAACATGCAAGTCACCGACATGAGCCTGTAACAGCACCCTCCTTAGGGCATTTCACTTGAACAATACGCTTGAACTCAAATTTCACATCTTTTAATTTTCATTCTTGAGTTTTCAAACAAATACAATGAGCTCAGTAGATCCAGTTAGAAGACAGGAATATGTTAAAGAAAAACTCAGAGTCCAATATATTAAGCATACTTATTTACTTAATCTATACAGAATCGAGTAGATAAAATTTCAGATTCACATTAGTGAAAAATCTCTACAAAATGTTTTTGAAAAGCAAAACAAAGACTGCCTGTTCATTATCATTTTTCCTCATGAAAGCAGACATGGGTTGTAAAAATAAAGCAGTGTGTTTAGCACAAACTAGATTTCTGCATCACTTTTTTCACAGTTATTTCCATCTACAGTCCAAAGAGGTAGATTTTCTGCAACACCTGAGAGTTGAACTGTAACGTAACCAGGTGTAATGAAAGGAAGGACGAAACATTAGAGATACAGCCCTAACTTACTTCTGTACGTAGACACATACTTGGGTCTTGCGTCACATGTAATTTACCTTTTTGCAGCTTAATCATGGTGAAACTGTCAATCAGGCCCCAGAGTTTTGACACTTAGACATACCTGTTTCAGGCTACATCAGCTTACAGCCCAGGTTAAGCAGTTTATGGTAGTGGGACAAAGGCAATCAATGCCTTTAAGTTTACTTAAAAACACTACTGGAGCCGGTTTGGCTGCAGACTGGCAGTGCAATAGCCTGCTGTATGGCAGATCAGTTAGAGTGCTGAGCTTATCCCTTATATGAATTTGTATGTTTGTTTTGGTTTTTGTTTGGTTTTGTTTTTTTGTTTTTAAACACGCTTAAAGCAATGCACGAAACTGTATTGACTGGTTTCAGGAAGCAAAGTGTAGCTCACCTCAGCCAGATAAGTTGATATGATATGAGTATGTTAAGGGTAGGAAAGAGAAAAGATATCCCCATTTTAAAAGCCTTTCAACTTGGGCCCTTCTGCTTCATTTACATAACAAGTCAGTAACAAATATATTTGTATTGCTGTTCCATACATCTGTCATGTCTCTAAAAGCCCTTTAAAATACTCTTACACAGCAGGGTCCAAAAATTCACTCTTGCCTCCATATAGAACAAGCACTATAGAAAGAATTGTTAAAGATACAAATGTCCAAATAATTAATTGTAAAAATAGAAAACTGCATGTCCTTACCTTGCCAAGGGTATGATGCATCAGATACAGAGGTTTTCACTTTTCCTCAGGAAAATTACTTCACGCTTAGTGTTAGCTGAAAACCAGGTCTCGCAACAACTATTTTTTAAACAGTTTGATTCTACAAAGCAAGTCATTTGAAAAGCAAGTCTGAAATACTTCTTTCCAGTATATTTTATACCGTATGGTTAGTATGATTTACATTTCGAAGCTCTGAGTCTAACTTGACTGACTGCTCATCGCTACCTTCTTTTCATTCCTGCATTGTGCTTGGACCAGAAACACAACACACACACAAATCTAGGAGAAAGATGGCCAGCTTCCTACTTGCTCTACCATTTAAGAAATGTCAGTTTTGCACAGTTCTTCTCAGTGGTATGAGCTAAAAACACATTTATCAGGCCTTACAAAACGTTACTCTCTTTCAGAGACAGCTACATTATTTCAATGTACGTTACTACAGGAAAAGAATCAGGAGCTCAGTGCAGCCTGAACATTCAAGTAATTTAGCCACTAAACTGTCAAGGGCAATTAGGGTGGGAAGCTCATTGAGATGTGCTTGATTCAGAAATCCCCTCCCAAATAAGTGCAAAGAACTTTAAGTACCAGAAAAGGCTACACACGTTCATATTTCTTCAAATGACAGCAACGAAAACTAGAAAGTAAATACATGGGAACTAAAGTTAAGGGTAGCTTGCAGTTATTTCATACATCGTCTCGCCAAGAAAAAGAAACATTGGTCCTAGTTTTTCCTCAGGAAAAGAAGTCAAACTGTGGATATCAAATTTTCTAGGAAAAGCTACATGGCTTAAGGTTAACAAGGGAGCTTTGCTTGTGGTATGTTAGTGTAAGAATTTGAAGTACCATCTTTATCAGACAACGTAGCTGGGAAGGCACTCTGCCAACTGCTACAGCTTTGAGGTCGAGTGTCCAAGAAATTCCATGCGGTACTTCAGGAAAAGTATCGGAACATACATCTTCAATTATAACCAGTATACACTTCACTAACACTTAAATACATTGCATACAAAGCCATTAAGGAAAGCCTATATGCCACAGACTCATGTCTTCCACACCTCTAGCAGTAAACGTCTATTTTCCAGCCCTTCAGATAATCCAGAGATTATTGTCTAGACAGTAACGGATTTCTCTAGTCAGGATAACCATGTGATGGACACACTGCAGCTAAGAGGGAAGAACGTGACCAACACCTGTGCAATATGCTACACAACTGCAAAATTCCACTCGGTAACGTTGCTGTACATTTTCTCACACATTTATATTTAACTTGTTCAAAGGTAGGGCAAATAGTCCAAACTAACCTTTACAACACAACCCTGAGAAGTCTGCAAAAAGTTGTACACCCTGTTTCACCAGCTGCAAATTAATGTATTTCAAAGCTGTTTTTTCATACCACAAAGTACATAAAACCCTTTAAACATATCTTTTACTATATTCTGGACCTTTACTTTTTCATTCATTTATAAGAAAACATACTAGAGGGGAAAGCTGACATTTTTTACTGGCCATTAGACATCCTTAATTAGATAAATTTACTGGAAAAATTGGTAATCTTTAGTATACTGAATGGCAAATCAATGAACAAAACCAGAACGCTGTTCTTCAAACCAAAAAAAGTGACATGCTGTCACTATCTTCCCCTGAATGATGTTATGTCTGTACACAGTCTTCCATGACAGTGATTTGTGTTGTGGGGAGGAAACGCACATGCATCCTTTTATGGAAAAATATTTTCTTTTAAAAAATGAGGCAGATGTGCAACACAGTTGTGGAAAATTTATAGTTTAAGCTATTTAAAGCTGCTATGCAGCTTCCTGTACCACGTAAGTCCAGTAGTTCTAAGAAAATACAGATATGGTAGAAAAAGTAAGAAAATTTTCACCACAAAACCAAATAGTTACCACCAACAGAGAAAGTTATACACAAAATATATCTCTCAATACAGTGTTTACACTTCATTTTAGTCTACAGATTCAGTGCCACGAACAGGACTTACTGAAACAGTCTTTTCAGAACTATTTGCCACACATGATTCCACATTGGGTTGGATTCCTGGTTCCATATCAGTGGGAGTTCCCAGCTCCTCATGGGAATTGAGTGTGCAGGACTGCAACACCTGCACAGCTAGATCCACATCTGCTTCTCTGAGAGAAACCTGCTCCTTAAGGACTTCCACCTTCTCATTCAGCTCGTTCCTTTCTGTCTGAAGGGCCCTGCATAGCTTCTCCAAACGCTCCAGTTTAATTTGAAAGCCCTTGTATTCTTTATCTCTTACTGTTTTCTGAAGGAAAAAAGAAAATAAAAGGTTTGTGATCAAACTGATTTTTTTTTCTTAAATTAATAAAAAGAATTACCACTACTTAATCCTGACTATTAAGTCTTAATCTAGTAGGTCAAATTTCAGCTGCACTAGAGCAAATTTGCTCAGCATACTTGACCACTGAACTTCAGATGGTTTGTCTACACTGGAGTGGCAACAGACATCTTTAGAAACAAGCAATGAGAATTATATAACTACAGAATGCTAACTGTAAGTGAGGGCTGAGCATAAGTGAAGATCTTGATATGCAGTTCCATAAAGCGGTCAGTTACAACCCAAACAACAGTAACTATTAGGGAGCGGGAAAGCATACAAGTGGGCAATCTGCAATCCAGCAGCAGAATCCAGGTCAGAAGGTACCATACTCATGGCTCTCCTAACTAGCTCCTTAAAAGAACAGAGAAACACAAGCAGTGCTATAGCAGAACCTATATGACCTAGCATGCTTTAGCAATCATATCTAATATACTTGAACTAGACATTAGACAGCGTAGGCAGAACTGTATGCCTATGGCCCGTGTGAAAACTGCTTTAGCTCCTCTCTTGCTTAATTACAATTAAGTAATGGCACCTTATGACCTCAAAAGCAGCAGAACACAGGAAAGCAGCTGATCCTTTATGCACAGGTTTATCTCCTTCATGTCAGTCTTGTGTATTTAAAATAGACTTCTATTCTGATTGAACTTTGCTCAGCATATTAAAATACAGTCAATTAATTTAGCTTGTATGATTTCATACACGTTATCCCACCAATTAAACAGTAAGCAAGGAAAGATGAGGCTGAATTTTTTTTGCATCACCAGTTTAGACTTAGAGCAGCTTTTTATTTCCCATGTCTGAGAACAGCACCATTTACACAACAGAAAACATAAGGCAGACAATCCAAACAGAGGCTACTGTGTATTATTTCCAACTCTCCAAAACTGAAAAAATGTATGAAGTTCTCTAGTTCATCCATACTGCTGCTTAAACAATAATTACCTCTTCAGCCATTTGCAGAAGAGCCTTGTTGTTGTTTTCCCATTTTGTACGCCACACTATCGTTTCCTTTTCCAGTTTCTTAATCTTCTTCGTCATCTACAAAAGATAAATAAAAGACTTAATTTTGTAGCTTGCATTGCAACGTAAGTAGGTTTACATAAATAATTTCACTACTTAGTGTTACTTTCCAAGTGCGGTTTGAACAAGTTATTTTAGAGATGTCTTTCTGCACAAAATCAACCCCACAAATACAGATTCTGCGCTTAAAGAAAACAAGATTGATTCTTAAAAGAAATAGACCAGCAAGCTTCAAGTACAACTAATAAAAAGCTCCAGGAAAATAAGTTTTGAAACATAAGCACAGCCAAAAAGGCCGAGAAGCACTGTACGTCTTTGATAAAACACTTAAACTGGAATTTAGATGTTATGCACATATGTAAAAACCAAACAAAAAAGCACATTTCTTTCCATAATATGACAAATCCTTATGTCCTATCTTACGATCCAAATTAAATGTCAAAATGCTCCATGTATTTTCAGAACACACATACTGTTATAAAATCTAAAATGCATCCTATTAATAGCATGCATTTTTATATTACTTTTTATGAAACTAAGTCACTCTACAAGTACCTTCTCCATTTCTTGCCTGAAGGTTGTAAAGAGTTCATTACTTTTTGCCATGGTGGTCTGGAATTCTTCAAACTTATCCATGTAAAGAGAGAGCTGTTGGGAAAGAGGCAAGAACATTAGTCTGAACAGCTGTTTACAAATACAAAAATATTAAGGTACAGGGAAACTAAGCTCTAAATAAAAAGAAGTTCATCTTCTATCTTTTTTTACACTATCCTACAATTTCCATTTGAGGAGTGTGCAGAACTTGTCAAAAAACATGCTATTCAAATTATATATGAGAGTTCTGTGTTTATAGAACAGTAATATATAGTAAAGAAAAAGGATATTATTTAATAAAATGTTGGAAGGTATCACAGTTCATCACTACCTCATTTTTCCTTTCTCACTAAAAAAGAAAAAGAGAGACTTACCTTTCACCTTAACCAGCCAAAGCTAACAAACAAGGCTGGGACAAAATAAACATGATTGAATCCAGAAATCAAAATACACATTCGCAACCTATGAAATCTGCCCAGTGAGCAAAAATCATGGAAAGTGAATATTGACAAGGAATTCATTTCATAGTGAAAAACATTGCATTTTAACAAGTGAAGAGCATTAACATTCGATGACAGAAAATTTTCTTGCCCTGCACCACAAGGTCAATCATCAAGAAGGAAATGCAATATACGTTAATTAGCGTTTTTTCACAAAAAAAAAGTAGGTTATGTTTCTTATTAAAACAACTCATACTATCAGTGTCACAATTTGATGTTCCGAGAATATATGACCATTTAATAATAACTTCTTACTCCATCTGAAGAGTCATCAGTTCTCTCAGTTCTTACATTGGGGTTTGTCAGACAACACAATTCAAGCACAGAAATAGTGTATTTTCCTCTAATAGTAGAGGAAGTTTCATAACAGGAATTAGCCTACCTTGTCAACAGTAGATCATGACTCTCTGCCATTATTGTCACCAAATTTTCTAGCTCATCTTATTCTACAATAAATCTGTTGGCCCCAGGAAACCACAAACTATACCCATTGTTACTATTAAAACGCATAACAAAAAGGCAATGGGATTTTAAATAAAGGGTAACCAAGCTGAAAAAAACAAAAAACAACAAAACATAAAAGACTGAGTGCAGCAAAAAACTATTGGAGAGAATCTGGATATTAATGAGCCCAAGTCATTAAGCACCCTAAGGAGGAGGGGGCGGTACGTGTATACGCAGTTACATTCAACTACGAACACCCAGTAAACGTTAACTGCTGGAAAGCCTGGAAAACAATTAGGTACCGTAAGAGTGAAAAAAGGGCGTGAAACAGAGCTTGCAAGGAGACTTAATACAAAACCTCACAAAACTGAAGCAGCCAGGCAGACAACAAAAGGAACAGCTACTGCTGCTCAGATGCTATGAAGTTAGCTGAACCTACCACGGCCCTTCACCTTAACGCTGGGCTCACGTATGGCCAATGACTGCGGGTGATCCAGAAACGCAGCACAAAAACCAGAGACCATCTCTCCACTCTGAGAGGATTTTGCTGTAGCATTTACAGCAAGAAAATAATTTGAAGATAGTCATGGTTTAGTGGACAGAGACATTCAGTTTTAGGTTACTCAACCTAAATAACTGCAAGGATAAACATGACATTGCTTACTCCCAATCTTCCACAACAGGATGGGATGGAAACAGTAAGGAACAAAATGTAAAACCGGTATAGGTAAAAATCCCTACCCAACTCTTTATAGTCACAAGGGCCTCTCTGGTCCTGAACAGCTACAAAAAAAGATTAAAATACCTTTGGAAGAGAGTGTAACAGTTTCAGAAGCCAAGGAATGGTAAAGAAGTAGCCACAATGAATATATCTAGTTCTTGTAATATTAACACTATTATTTTAAACGATACTAACTCCAGCAATTCAACATTTAGCACCTTCCAGTAACAGTACTCTCCAGATGTACTAAACAGCAAGTACAAAGTGTCAAGTCTTTACAATTTATACTTCACACTTCACTATTAAGAGTTGCCTACAGAAAATTAAATTTGAGACTTAATTAAGAAAATATCAAGCACTTCTCACAAGTAGTACGTTGTATCTCATGAATCATAACATGTAGGGTTTTTTTTTCATATGTTATGTTCACCACCATCACAAACCTCTTGTTTTTGGTTTTTTTTTTTCCCAGAACAACTGTTATCAAAGAGCACTCCATTAAAAAAATACCTGCTGCTTCAGCTGAGCTTCCTGTTGCTTCATCTGTTCACATTTGTGTCTGGACTCTGTAGCTTCTTTTAGCAGCTAAAAAAAAAACGCAGAAAGCCACAAAATGAACAAAGTACTCCAAAGACTAGCTTAAAGAACTTGATCTATGATGAAAAATGAACAAAGGTTAACATCACCTAAGGGCCTCTCAACCATGTTTTCTCACATGAGTTTTCGTTACCGTACTATACTTTCATATGCATGATTTAAAGCATATGCTGGCATACAGAAATTATTTTTATTGAGACATTTTTCTAATTGGTAGCATGAGTCAATGTTACTATTTCTGTAGGAAGTTTGAACTGCTAAATTTATGTGAGTAGTCAGTTAGTGAACCGTATGTAATTTGTAATTGTTTTGTAACCGCTCATTTATTTTCCACCTCCATTTCTTCAGTCAGTAATATTACCTTCACAGACTAGTTCAATTCTACTTCAACTCGATGCCATTTTGTAGATTCATCTTTGAAGATATTTTCCTCAGCTTATGATTCCAAAATTATTTTTTAATACTATAGAACAATCCAACACTGGATGATCATTTTAAGATTATACATGAAAAACATGGCTTTTGCCTAGAAGTTACATTAAAAAAAATCTTCACCTAAGTATTATTTTTTTTAATTGGAAGCTAACTTCTTGGGAAGACTGAAAGTAAATTGCTGATTATCAACATACAAATAAAACATCAGGCATAGTTCTGGGGACAGACAGTTCAGAAGAGCATACACGCTTTGTTGGGTGTTTGTTATGTCTTACAGCATAAAACCAGAAATTAAAACTACAAGACAGCAAGAAAGTACCTTTGGCATTTCAGCTCAAGGCGCTTCTCAGTCTAAGAAAAGTCTACATGATACCCAGCACATTTGCTGAGAAAACGCAAACAGTAACATTACTTGTCTGTGAATATGGACATTAATACTGTAGGCATCACACGCAAAATTTAAATCTCAGTCTTGATGTTGAAATCTATCCTAATTTTCAAAAGACAGTCCCCTCAGTTTCCTGTATTTGTTTTAAAGCATGAAAAAACTGGTTTGGTAGGTTTTGCTATTTCTATTAACATAGGTATAGAATTCACTTACAAACTCCCTTTCTCGCTGATGTTTTTCCTCTGCTTCTTTAATAAGTTGGGTAGTTTGCTGAAGTTTGGCATCCACAAGTTGCTGCTGCAGTTCTTTATGTTTGAACACTTTATCGATATGCTAAAGGAAGAAAGAAAATCATATTAGTCAAATACAAACAGCGCTCTGGTGAATTAAGGTAAGTGTACGTGTATGGGGAGATGCATGTTGTTTAAAAGTTTCACGCAAAAGAAAAAGTGGCAAAAGACTGTTCTACATGCTTTTTTCCTCCTGGCCCTGCCATACATTATAGCTACATGGTTTTTGTCTTTCACAGATGCATATTTTATTAAATTGGCATAATATTATCAGTCACTTCACACTAAGTGTTTCAAAAATCCTGTAACAAGTAGTCTACATCCTTTCTTCTAAAGTTGGTGTATCTACCTCTAATCTCAATTGTATTTTGTTGCATTTAAAAGCTCTAGTCTACGTAGTCAAAAAAGCTCAAAATAAGCAAGGTTTGCAACAGTAATTTATTTGGCTGATGAAATGCCACAAATCATTGAATTTTGCAGTCTTACTTCCATCCATAAAGTAGCACATGGCAGCTTCCTAGCTTTTCTCTTTCCCAAATTACCTCACAGTAGATACGAATACTCCACGAGCGCAAGAGGCAGGGAACTAGAGTCTACAGAGAGCTTTCTAACTGATCCAGATTATATAATAAAAAGAATACGAACAGTTGAGAAATTATATTCCAAACCTCCTATTCCAACTAAGAACTAACTAATCTTAGCTGTAGAACTCCTTGAAGCTTAGTTCTCTCTTTGACAAGGAGAATTGGCTGTATTCCATTACTGTGGTTTAGACTGGCTAGCTCACATACTGGTGCCAATTAAAGCTAGCTCCGTTAGCCCTAAAATACAGTCATTTCCATGACACCAGTCCAAATATATTCTTAAAGCATGATAGCTTATTTTGATTCTATGCCAACAAGAGCTACATACACAAAGGAGCTTGCCAAAACCCCCCAACCTTAATGAAACACAACAAGTAAGGAAAGTAATTCTTAGCTTCCCCTCCCATTACAACGTGAAATTATAATTTAGAAGAGTTTCAAATATTAATACATATTTATATTGGAAATAACTTGTGGAAGTCATTTAGTCCACTCAAACCAGAGTCAACTTCAAAGTCTGAACTGGGCAAGGTGTGAGCAACCTGCTAAGTTCTGAATACTTCTAAAGACAGAGATTCCACAATTTCTGGACAACTTATTTCTATTTGACTACTTCCACTGTGAAAGTTTTTCCACTGCAGCTTGAATTTAGATATGCAAAACCAGACAGCAAAAGCACATAGTGGGCCAAACACCTACTTAATTTTTCACAGTAGTGAAGCAAAAAGGTTAATTTAAAATATATATACAATGGCTGTAAAGTATTACTCTTTTTCTCCCCTTTAAATAATTATCTGATCCTTATAGTCAAGCAACTAAGAGAATCCCATGAGAAGCATACTATAAGCACCTCTTCTCGCAATGCATACTGCTCAATGAGTTTCTTCAGTTTTTCCCCCAATTCAATATTTTCCTGACGGAGCTTGGCATTGTGTATATCATGCTGTTCCAGTTGAGCCTGAATTTCATTCAGCGTAATCTGGAAGTGTGCAGTTGCTTCTTTCCGTCTTTCTTCTTCTTCACGCGCTTGCTGCATGTTTTCTTCCTTTTATGAGAGAACATTAACGTGTTCAAGCCAAATCATGCACCTTTTTCACATTTTTTGAGTCAGAAACAATGGTAGTAATTCACTTCTGGACAGTTTCGAGTTCTAGGGTGCTACAGTTAATATAAACCACACTCATAATATGCTATGCTGACTACCTACACGAAGTGCATGGAATGAAGAAACTAGAAATTCCAAAAATTTTAGAGAATCTTGTCCTTACCGCTACTGACATTACTTAGAGGCTGGTATTACAAGATGCTACATGAATACCTTTGCAAGCATAAGAATTACTCAGAGGTTAAAAACAGCATTGATACTATAATGAAGTTTCCTACAGTGATCACAGATCACTATCATCCATTATATTCTGACAGAACTAAGCCTTTTTTGATATCCTGGCATTTCGTGCTGCTGCTATTTCACTTGTGCTATTTTTTCCAGCAGTCATCAGCACTGCTCCCAGAAACAAATATGGCAAGATAACATACTGAAAGTATTATGAGGGGAAAAAAAAAAATCAGCCAGCTGAACTATCTCCATATTCTTTACCTTAAAATCAGGTACACTTACGTCACATGCCATTCACCTTCTACAGGAACAAGCAATGGGCAAAGTGGTAAGTAAAACGCAGCATTTATTCTGAATTTAAGCAGTAATCACTAAGAAAGACTTCCACCACCGCTGGCACTGTAATTTATGTAAATAAACTAACCTTCAAAGTCTTGTTATGACGCTGAAGCTCCCGACAGAGAGATTCCAGTTTGCTACGTGCCAAAATGGCCTTGCTATGCTCACTCTGCAAGTGGACTTTCTCCTTCACCACTTGTGCTTGCTTCTTCTGCAGTATCTTCATCTGCTTTTGAACATTCCGGCTCTCCTCCAACTAACATTAGAGAGCATATTTATCAAATAAACATAGGTGAAACTATTTTTGTGTATCTAGATGAGCAGACTGAACAAACTTTTAAACGTTTCAGATGAAAGAAAGGAAGTCAAATAGTTTCATTAAGACCCCCAAGTTGATCTTAAAGAGAGAAACTCCCATCATCCTACAGAATTCTAAATATTTAAGGACAGAAGACAAAAATATACAAATTCTAACTTAAATATTTGCCTTTGAGGAACAGGGACCACAAACCTGTTCACCATAGGCTATCAGCTTGCATTCAGCCACAGGGGCAGGACTAGCCCTGAGGAAGAAAGATTTTTTTCACTCTCTTATCTGTAAGGTACACATAGCTGTTTATCCAACAGGTCTTGTTTTTACTATCAAAAAGAAAACCCCATTGAACTGCGTAGAGAGTTCTTTCTTGTCGGCAGGAGCTTCTACCAAAGGAAGCAGTAACTGATACAAGTTTGTAAAACACTAAGGTATTTCAGAAATGAGCAGATACAATCAGCAGCCCTGACAAATCAAGTAAAATACTATTAAAGCTGCACAGCCCAGGCAAGAAATCTGTAGTCTCAATTATTTGAAACAAAATTTTTATTATATTCCTTTAGGCTGTTTAGACGGTAGATGACAGCGTTAAACTTTGTATACAGTGCTGACTTCAAAATCTATTCTATGAACACCCAGTGAATGGAAGTTTTTTGTGTTGTCTAGTTGAGAGTAAATTCCATTACACATGACTTTTGGGCTCCCCAAGAAACCATATTATTCAAGGTCTGTTCTATTGCAAAGAAGGTAACAATGTTAAGTGTAACATCCTTATTAGACAGTGCCTCAGCCTCAGGAAGCCACAGGAAAAGAAGGCTGGCAATGAGAAACATCACCATGACAGAGAAGAATACAATGCTGGTTTTCTGAAAGAGCTCAAAATAACACTGAAGCATAGAAGAAAGAATAAAGTCAAGGACCTCCATGACAACTGTACATTAAACATATATTTAATCTAATTTAGAGAAAACGAATGTTAAGGAAACGTTTGGATATCCAAACATAAAAAGCTCTTTCCTTGGGTGGCCAGAAAAAAACACTCTAAGTGGCTGTGCTGTTTGCATACCTATGAAACTTCAGGCCTGTAAAATTATGCCAGTGTGAGACATATCACCAAGGATGGAAACCTTCCTGCATCACAAATTGATCTCCTGATAGATTCCAAATTAGGAAAAAAAAAAAATTGTGGAAGATCTTTTGCCAGGAGAGAGGCATTCCTACCTTTATTGTACAGTCCTTTTCATGAGACACCACTGAAAAACCTGACAGTGAGCTTTAAAGATGATGAATCTTTAAAAAAAGAAAAAAAGCATTGTAGGTGCACTGTCATAAACAGTTCAAACCTCTGCTGGCATTAAAGCTGACACCTATGCCAGTGGTTCACCACCACTATCATGAAGAAAAAAAATGCATCTTAAAAGGAACAGAACCAGATCCAACCCAAACTTTCTGAGGGGAACTGAGTACCTTTAAGACTCATTCAGCTAAAATGGAGCTAATGTTACACCCAGACAAGCTCCCACCCAACTTCCCAGCAGTTCTGAGCATCACAGGGAAAGCAACTCGTTTTCTAGGGTGGTGATTATCTATGAACTGTGAATGCTTATTCTACCTATAGACTACGGATCCTCTCCTGGGAGGGGGGAAAAAAAGTAATGTGAACACGTCTCTCCTGATTGCCAAGCTTCTTGAAGGAAATTACAATTAATTTGGTCTAGTTGTTCCCTAACTGTTTTGAGATCTTTCCTTCAATGAGAAAACTCAAAGTGACGATGGTGCAGACTGTCTTCTTCCTGCAGAAGCGAGGAACTTATGCCAACCTAGCTCCTCATGCAGGCCATCAACATCACCGCTGTAATTTGACATGGGAACTCTTCACTCAAACAGAAAAGGCATCACATGCACAAGCAATTGCTTAAAATAACTACCTCATTTACTGCATTTTTCTCTCACAATATCAAAGCTCAGTTTTAGGTGAGCTTCCCATCCTTGAGTGTCACTATGGAAGTATTATAGTTTCTCGTTTAAATGGAAGTGACTTCTCTAAGAAGCTGCTGGTTTTGAAGGAAATTCACTCATGAGAACAAGAGCGTGCACGTGACAGAGAGCAAGGAAACCAAAGCAAAAGCAAAACCATAACAGACCTCCAAGGAGGACTCAGGATTTCCTAAACAGAACTCATCTAAGTCTATTCTTAAGTAATTACTATTGTCTCTGTGAGTAAAAATACTACCTGCTAGTTCATTCTCAAAGCTCTGGAGACATTATTTATCTCAAAGGAAAAATAACTTTATTTCAGAACAGTAACGTAATGTTGTGCAGCCATTTCAGAGACATTTTCATACATAATACACTTGATATCTACAGAAGGTAAGTCTTACACTTTTTTCAAGCTATCAAGTTCTCAAGTTTTGCATTCATTTGTATCTACAAGTACAGTGGGAAAACATACACACGCGATATTTTCAGTCTTTCCTTCTTGTCTGTCCCTGTCTCAAGATGAACAAGTGAAACATTTTTTCTCTCCAGGCACATTGTGAAAAGTCAATTTATGAGCCTTTTTCCCCCCCAATTTTGCCATCAATTAATTTAGAAAATAAATTATCATTTCTGTTACTTAGAGTGGGAATGCACTTTACAATCAATTACTGCTAAAATTTTGTCTTTTTGGTTTGTTACTGAAGAAATGCGTACTTTTCCATCCATTCCTTCGCATGATCAGAAAGCACAAAGCAAAATTGAATCTAGATCTTTCCAACTTCCTCTAAAAATAATTAGTCCCAAAAGAAACTCTTAGCTTTTCTGTTAATCCTAATGTTATGCTTCCACATTGTTACCAAAAAGTTATCATAACCTATTTTTTCTGTGGATTTAGGCAGTCATGTAGAAGTGAAATGACTACATGCAAGTTTGGCTGAAGCAATACTTGTAATAAGCCTGAGCACGTTTTTTTTTTTTGTTTCCCTATCAACACTGTGAAACATTCAAAATTGTTAACTGTCCTGTATTAGAAGTTCCTGCATTCCACAGTTAATATTATTAATGAATAACTCCCGTTATCTTTACAAATTACTTACCAGATCAGCATACTTCTTGCACAAAGCTGCCAGCTTTTCCTCTGGAGTAGAAAGTGTGTTCAAGGCTTGCATTAATAATAGCACTTCTTTTCCTATGAATTGGATGAAAGGCAAAAAAAGAAAATATTGAGAAAAAAAAGAAAATATTGAGAAAAAAAAGAAAATATTGAGAAAAAAAGAAAATATTGAGAAAAAAAAGAAAATATTGAGAAAAAAAAGAAAATATTGAGAAAAAAAGAAAATATTGAGAAAAAAAGAAAATATTGAGAAAAAAAGAAAATATTGAGAAAAAAAAGAAAATATTGAGAAAAAAAGAAAATATTGAGAAAAAAAAGAAAATATTGAGAAAAAAAAGAAAATATTGAGAAAAAAAGAAAATATTGAGAAAAAAAAGAAAATATTGAGAAAAAAACATACCAGAAGAGCAGCCTGTCTTTAGAAGTAAAATACAGAACCATGAGAGATTAGTGTGAGTTAAGTTGCTCTCTGGTTTGATAACTGCATAATCCGAATGGATAACAAATCGGAAGTCATCACACTAAGAATAAATTTGTCTTGCCTATGTGCCTTTACACAACTTGGATAGCAAAAGTTACTTTAAGCTTAAAACCACAAAATATATATTTCTTAATAATTTATAATAGCACAGATAAACAGAGAAATCTGAAAGAGTGAAATATAAAGGGTTAAGTTTTGCTAATAAAGGATATTCACACAAGTGTTTTTAATACGCCTTTGGAATTTAAATATCAGCAGTGCTTTGGTAGCATCAAACACCGCAATCCCAAATTTTAAAAGTTAATCCAACAACCAGAAATTTAAAAAAGCTGATTAGTGACTATCGCATTATTATTGTTATTAAAGTTCCTGTAAAAATAGCATTACCAGTGGAAGGATTCTTACATATGCATTAAGAATTGTCTTTTCCTAAGCAGAAGCACACATATTCTTAGAATATCCTGTTAAAGATGACAAGCTTTGGCTACAAAGTAAACTTGAGACAAAGAGAAAACATATAGCTATTTTACAAAAATATTAAAACCATTTAAAAATCGAAATGCCAAAGAGAACATACCCAAAGTTTTCTCTTTGTGTTTTTCGCTCTCTGGATCTTGTTGGCCATCGGGTGGATCAGTACGGGCTTCTTCTCTCCCAGGAGTCTCCTCACGAGACTCTTGAGAGCAGCACGTGGACCCTGGGTGCTTTCTGTTCTTTGCGATATACTCAGCTTCTTCCAACATGCCCGCGTTTTCCAGGACACAACAGTTGGACTGCGAGTGCTGCAACGCCATATCAGACAATTCACTGCACTTGCTGTTCACCAGCTGAGCCTGGTTACTCATTCCCATCTCCTGAGATCCAGCTTCTTCCATTGCACCACCAACCAACTTCAGAAGGGAAAGGAAGAAGCAGAAGTGAACAGGTTAAGCAACTGTGTTTAAAACGAAAAGTTCCACCTTTCTTTTGCATGGACAAGTAAGAGTAAAATTCCACGGCTATTCAAGTTGACACTCACTGTGGTTAAGACAGGTATACAAATAACTGTACACAGAATGAGTCTAAAGACTGATGAAGAAAACAGCACATACACAGCCCAAAACGCTAATTACTCTTATGAAACAACTTTCATACCTTGTCATTGCAAAAATGTTTATATTCTAGAAATTAAAAGTTCACATGGAAAACTGTTCTTAAAGCTCCAAAAATAACTGGCTATCATCTCAGCTATGAAAACACATAATCTTAAATGAAAACATTTCTCTCTCGTAGTTCTTAAAAACTTATCTCAAATCAACGTAAGTACACTAAACACTCAGCAAGAGTTTATAACTAGCTTTACTTACTGTTATTTCAAGAATAAGGTAAAGAAATTGAGAAAGGAGGACATCATTATTACAAACAACTTTATTATACATTATTTTCTGAAAACTGAAAGATACAAGTTTAAAAATAATTCAAGAGATACACTGCAAGAAAGACGGGGAAAAATTGACCTGCTAAGAAGTCTGAAGAAATCCACAGAAATGTATAGTTTCAATAACATAGATATGGTAAGAGTTTAAACTACTTCAATCACAATGCCAAATACGATTGTCAGCTCCTGACTGGAGAAAATCTGTTGTTGTTATAACAAGAATGATGAACAGGATCAGGAGCCCATCCGTTTTTGAAATGTTAAAATTCGCATCTACGAAATCATCAAAAAAGTGAGTATAAACTGGCTTCGGATTTGGAGTCCTACTATCAATGATTTTTAACAATACATTCTTTCTGCTCAATTAAGCAGAACTTTCTTGAAAGATTTCTTATACTCCAAAACGTTTAATCATTTAACCAAAAAGTTAAACATCACCAGTTGTATTAACATGCAGTGATATGTCCACGTTTTGGAGCAGAACACCTGACGATACCACTCAATAGTTTATTAAGCAGCTACCAGACTCCCCTCTCAATCGCCAGAACATCATCCTCAGTCTCTAGAAATGTTTAAGGCTGATGAGAACTACAAGGGTGGTTGGGTGGGTGGGTGTTTGTTTTGTTACACTACAGAGGCTGGGACTCAGGACAATACTTGGAGGTGATCTGGTATTTTTTTGCTGTCCATTTGCAATCCTACTATATAACAGGCATACATAGTTAAAAGTACGATAAACGGAGTTGAACTCACTTTACTGCCAAAGTAAAGTGATCACTCTCATTAATTTATTTTCAGTGAAGTATAAGTACATTTCCGTAAAGTGACAAGGAATTAAAAACCCAGGGCTTGTTTAGATGCAGAGTTATGCTGTTTAAGCACAAATTAATTTCAGATTATCTTATGTTTTAACATTAAAAACGTGCTAATTCTTAAAGCCAGGAGTTTGGTCTGGGTTTTATATTCTGCACAGATGGACCGTTTTCCTCTTTGAAAGGAATTAGCCAACGTCTAAGGAATGCAGCCAAAACTAATAATATATTGTGAGATATATTTCAACTCCCAATTTATCTAAAAAATCATTAAACAAATATGCATTAATATTGAAAAAAAAAAACGGCTTTGTTGTTGTCTATTCTTAAATCAAGTCTCTTGCTTTAGACCTTATCTCAAGGAAGATAAATTATTGAGAAGATGGAATTCATACAGTATCTTTCACAACGGACAATAAGATTGTTTAACTGCGAAAAATCTGCACGGACATTAAGGAGTGACTTTTGACTTATCAAGGAAGATTCACTTTGTACTGCTCTTTACACATGTGGAAATGATGCACCTGCTTTATGAACAGATACAAACAAACACACTGCATTTTTATCATTCTCCAATCACATCAGACAACATACTTGATTAATGCCTGCAAAGGTAAAGCAGTAATTGCTACAACAAAAAAACAAACCCAACATTTAACAGTTGATTTTTGTAGGCTGTAAAATGCGTTATTTTCTTCCTTACTCTTAAACTCTGAGGCTTCCATTGGCACGAGAAAGGCTTATCCCTCCAAATTTAGGGTCAGTTAAACAAACAAGAGATGCTTCTTAAAAAAGGAGAAGAGATGTGAAAACAGCAGAGATCAGCTAACGTTTTTGTAGGTACCAATAATGGTTGAAACCACGGCACAGTTCTCTAAAAAACATGATTCCCCCAGAAGCGGAAGATACTGTGTCACATCACATTGACAAGACAGGAAAGATCGGAGGTATCTGAACACAACGTGATACCAGAGTAGAACTGCAGCACCAGCAAAACAGCTGAAAACCGCAGTTTTTTCATCACATAGAACGTGAATTTCTGATTCGGATACTTGTGCCTAAAAAGGCTGGCAAAAGGTAGGGAAAGTCTGCTCTAAACTCAAAGGTTCCGGTTTGACACAGTATTTCCAGACTTTCTGAAATCCATAAACATACTCAAAATTTACGTTTTGAAAGCAGAGCACAAAAGAGCCAGCAACTCCATCCGACAAGCAGCTGAGGCGGCCTGACTGGCTCCAGCTGTGGCTACACACTAAACAGCAGCAGGGCCCAAACGGCTCTCCTGCTATCGTTTCATTCCCCTTTTTCGTACCTGCCTGCTGTGCTGGCAACGATGCTCATGCAACTTGTTCTAACACAGTTTGTAGCCAGATCGGTACCTCAGCCCAGTTCACTGCACAGCAACAGGCAACCCTGCCAGCCAGAAGTGCTAGCACGATGGCTGGAAAGAAGCCAAAGCACAACAGTCACTAAAAAAAAAAAAGTCAGCCTAATCACAGCCAGAGTACAAGGAACTAAATAAAAAATACCTTATCTTAACCACAGGTACGTAGTGAACATTGACTACTGAGGCTCTGCAACATCGTCAGCAAGACAACATCATGAGAAGCACTGCTTCAAAGTTAGACAACCCAGAGATTTTTCACTGGTTTTCATCTGAGAAAATTCTGCCATTTCTGGGGAAAAAAAAATAACAACTACTGGCAGGGGCATATATATAACTTGCAAAATGCCCACCTCTACTGGTGAACCAGCACAGTAAACTAAACATTTGTCAATTCAGAACTGGCAATTAACATGCGTATTCCAAAGCATCTGGAAGATTCAGGGAGTGAATACCACCACTTCATTAATTCAGCAGAGCTTTTTGTAGAAGTCAAATTAGGTGTCAGTCCAATTCTTTACTGACAATAATAATTTCTCAACTCTGAGTATTCTCTATCCTCCATCAAAAAACCCACAAGGATTTTCAGAACTTCAGACTCATTCTGCAAAGTGGAACAGAGAATGTAGAAATAACCTATCAGAATATTGAACTGAACGAAAAGGTTTGTGTACAAGCATCTTGTACATCTCAAATATATTTGAAAATAATAGCAACTGCAAAAAAAAACCCACAAAACTTGTCAACCTTCTTTTGGTTTCCCAGTGAACATGGAACAAATCCAAGCTCACTGACAAGCAACCATGTTCCCTGCAAAACCAAAGCTCAGTGTGGCAGCAGACAGTTTTTGTAATAATATCCAATTTTCTTAGCTTAAATACAACTAAAAATTGATGACCACAGGCTAGAATGCTGTATTTAAAGAAATGGTTCTACCAGCAGCTAAACCAACCTGATAACATACAAAAAACCCTAAAAATACCCTAGTTAAATTCTATCAAGTTGTAGTCCATAAATCCCAGTAAAACTGACAGCAGTGGCACGACATACTAAAATTCTAATGTATTTAACCTAGATTAGAAAGTGTTTGTTTTTCATTTTAAACAGCAAAGTCTGTTATTGCCTGACAGAGGCCACAGACACTAAGAGCTAGATTAGTTAATCTTGATTATGACTAACAAAGAATTTTCTACATCAGCTGTCACTTTAGATATTAAAAACATAACCAGAAGTTTAAACAGCCTTCTTACACTCTATTTTATTTTATTTCATTTTAACTACAGTTTCAAATTTGATCTGCATCAAGCTTCAAGTTGGAGTACAGCAGTAATAAATGTCACATTGAGAAGGTTTAGTACTAAACTATATTAGTATCACTGAAACTGCCCTCCTTACTGAGACAATGGTCAGAACAACCCCAACTATTACCTCTATCTTTTCAAACGCATGCTCATCAGACGAGTGAACTTCTCGGTTTAACATTCCAGCCAGAACAGAGCATTCCCAACAGCACATTGTATAATAGTGCTGATTCAGTACTGACTGAGTAAAAACAAAACAAAACCACCACACCAAAGACCTTCTACTGAAATCACCACTACCTTTCTAGCTGCTACCATGCTCTCTCAGCTTCCAGCTGGCTTCCAGCCTCCAGGTTCTAACCAGCTTTCATGATAGGTGGCTTATAATCTGACAGATCAGAATTAAGATTGTTTCATACCTAGAAAGATTTTCAGAGGCAGACAAAAAGAGTATCGTTGCACAGGTAATGTGCCACTTCGTAAGATCACAAAATTATTTATCAAAATTCAAAACCCTACCGTTAAAAAATAAGATACTTGTCACCTACCTACCTAGCTGTGAAACCAGCTATTACAAGATGCTGACATTTCTGAATCAGCATATAATCCTCAAGCTACTTAAGATAAGAGTTACAAGCCAAGCAACTTGAGGATGCTGGCAGGAAAATTACTGGCAACATCGCTCTTGCTCACCCCAAAGTTTTCATTCAGTCTTCTGCTCTGTTCTCTCAACTTGTACCTTGATCAAAAAAGGCACACATCAGGAAGACCCTACCTTACTTCATACCTATGAGAGTACAAGATAGGTGTCCTATTTATGAAATTGGCTATGATCACAAGAGCCTAAGCCAACTTTACTTCAAACAGTACTGTTCCAGCAACATGTGCTGCGCATCAGAACGAAACAGACACCTAGGCAGAACTTATCCTGCCATGCCAAAACGTATCATGAATGGACTTA